TATATACAGTATATTACCTCAAAATATTTATAGATCTTGTAAATTTACTTTCATGTTTTTGCAGTTTGTTTCACTAAACTGAACAATATTCTATGAAATCTCCAATCCAATTACTGGTACAAAATTGCATATTTATGATGATATATACATTCAGTCTACTGCCCTCTCTTGTTTTCCACTGTAATTTACTAAGTTTAGACTGAGTTTGTTAAATCCATATAAGGTGCAATGCTGGCTAACCAAAATTATCAAGTCATACCTCATGTTGGTAAAACTATTTTGAACTGTTTAAAGTGGTAATAAATATATAAATGTTGTGGTAAATATGTAAACCATAAAAAATAAAAAACATTAAATTGCTTTTTAATAATAATAATCAAAGAAGTAACACCCCCAGGCCAGTTTTGTTCCTGTCTACCACAATGATGTTTTGGGGAATCTACTGGAAATCATCAGTCTCTTGCACTCTCACAGGCAAGCAGAAACTTTCCTGTAAATTCAGAATGTCTACATGTTTTAAACTACTGTAGTAATATTTGTCTGCCACATGTTAGCTGGTCATGAGTATAATCACATGCAGTATCAATAGACAAGCCCACCAAGCCAGATTTTCTGAAAAGTAGCTTTTCTCAAATTGCCAATGAGACTAAAATTGGCATTTCAGTTATTTTGCTGATTAAAAAATTAAAAAAACCCTAAAATTATTAACATTCTAAGGGAATATGCCAAAAATGAAATTTTTATGCAAACTTATTAATATAATATAAAAATTATAATGCAATTCTAAAAATTACCAAAGATGCAATGTACAGCATATGGAAAAAAGGCTAGATGTTGACAGTTTTGAAATGGAAAATACCAAACAGATAAAAAAAAAGGTCAAACACTTTTAATTTGGAATGGAAAAGAGGTATTAAGCAGAGAAACGGAACTATTGGTGACCATAAATTGATATGAACTCCGGCTGTGAATACATAGCCACATCGACCTCTTTGTATAAAACAAAATGAGGTTCACTCTAATACTATTTTTAGCCCTGATCTTGCAGATCATCAGAATTTTCTATTTTATATCGCAAAATCTTAACAAGAGCTTAATCGCTCATTAACTGCCTTTCCCATTAGCCTAGAAGAACACAAGTAAAGGGAACAGTAATACCAGGACTGATGGATCTAACATACTAGAGTCCTTCCTTTTTTGGCTCCTTGCTTACCCATCCACAATTCCTATAGGAAACACTCCACAAAAATATCAAGTACACTTATTTCTAATCTATTAAAACTATTTCCAACATGCTGTGTGGCTGTGCGTACAAGGTCACTCGATATTTTACAACTCTATAGTAATTCATTATTAATTTCAAACTACATTCATCATGATTTACTGTGACCTGATATTTACAGCCATGAGCAATGGATATTGTAACCATACTATAACAAAAGTAATGATTGATTAATGCATTGTACAGCATAATTTACCTAGATATATTTCCACCTACAGTTATAGTCAATGCAATGTACAGTACTCTCATTCAAAATGTGGCTTATCAGTGACATATTTTAAAGAATAATAATATGTACACATTTTTTGGCATTACTGGTTTAGAAAACTAAGTACCTTATGAAAGAAAGCAGCTCCTGTTAGCACCATAGACAATTCACACGAATAATTAGAGTTGTAAAGAAAACCATCTTTGTTGACCAGGTCCCATGCATGGAATCGGCCAGGGAACCCAACTATGCGATCCCGAGCTTCCCGCCAAACCCTGCAAGAAACAAATAAAATATACAAAAGTAAGTTGTGAATTTTTTTCCCGGATATTAAATGTTAAAAAATGATAACAAATACTTCTAACTACAACATGAGAAAATATTTATATTACTATTTTATGCCTTTGTTTTTGTAGATACAGATAAATTATTTTTTACCCTTTCAAAAGAAATTACATGGTTGAAAAGATGTTTCTCATTCTTGAAGACAAGATACAGTTAGTATTAATGAAAGTTACAAAAGGATACCTGACTTTATTTTACTTTCTTTGGATCTAGCTGACTAAAAAGAATATATGATATTATTTGAGATCAAAAACTTGACAGGTTATCATACATTATGAAATTAATAAAGGCATCTAGGTATACCCAAAGGGAATATGACAAGACAGATTCATCAGCATTTCTAGTACAGTATATTACTTTAAAATGGGGGGAAATGCAGAATATTCTCCACATTACTGTATCTGTTAAACCATAGGAGAGTTTTTAGTACATTAGGATTGAATACACATACAGTATGCTCATAAATCTGGAGCATTATGGAATACTCTTCCAAGAAACTGATTGATTGTATGTGTTCCATATGTTTATGTGAAACACCTAGAGGCCTTGGCAATATGTCCTATAAAATGGTCAATAATGAATGATTGCAGTACTGTGTCACACATATAAAGTTACATGATCATGTAACTGCTTAATCACATACTTACATCACTGATTATTACCTAAAAATTACCACATAAGGCAACAAAAAAATTGTTAATTTGTTGCCCAGGAACAGTGACAATTAGAAATCAGGTCCAGTCATTCATTAGTGAAATATTTCAGATGTCTCACTACAAAATAAGTCTCATGGTTAGAAATTAAACAAACTGAGTTTATATTATACAGTATTTTGGTAGATCACATTTAAGCTTTTATTTGGTTTTTGAATGGCTTCCCTTGGATAAGTAGATCGAGAGATGTGAGCATTTAAAGTTTAGGTGTATGAGAAAACACTGTTTGAGTTCACTTAAGAAGAATACAATCATAAATCATAAGTATCAAGTTACTCAAAAACATTAAAATGAACATTTTGTAAAAACATATTTTGATGAATATCTCAATACAATTTCAAAATTTTAGCTCTTGCAAACCTTTTGTACTTAAGTAAGTTTTATTTTTGTGCTGTTTTTTTTTTTTTTTTTTTTCATTTTCTAATATGGAATGACAGGCTTGAAAGCCAAAGTTTCTTTTATCTGCAGTCATTCCTTGCCATCTTGGATTTTGATTTGTATATTGTTTCACTGGCAAAACAAATAAATAAACATTTTATGAATTCAAAACAATTTTAAACAATTAATATTCAATGTATGTCTTTCTAATATTACTAAATTTTATATTCAATAGTATTGCATTCTTTTTATGTTGCTGTTAATAAATATCTAAAAACAAATCTTGACTGCATCATGATTCACAATTATCAAACTTCACTGTATTTCAAATAAGGAAACATACATAATATATTTCATATTGGGATTTTTTTAATGGAGAGAATTGGGGTCATGTCTGCACAGTCTTGAACTTTTACTGTAAGTAGTCTTACTTCCCCAAGTGAGCAAAAACAAAGTGTATGGGGATGACAAAGATGTATTTTATATTATGCCAAACATAAACAACAAAATTTACAAGCAAATCTTGTGTCAGTGTTCATTTTTTTTAACTATACAGGAGACATGCTGTGACATTTCGATCGCTCAATAAAACATAAACAGATCGTTGAATTTGACAGCAAGTTAAAGATCAGATGATGAATGATGAATAGGTACAGAGCATGTACATGTTCTGAAGCGTTCTTGCATCATTTTCAACGTCCCCGTCAGCAGGTGTTTTATAATGATGTCTGATAATAGTTTCTAAATACAGTAGCACCTCATTTTTGGAGATTTTTTAAAGATAGTACAGATAAATAAAGTGTCTTTGAAAAAAAACAAAAAAAAACAGTTGTACAATATAAAAAAAAAAAATTTCCCTCCAGGGCCTGGATTTAATGTGAAGTAGTTGAGTTGCATGGTCTGTTACAGTTGTAGTAGCCGACTTCTTCGGAAGATGGGAAGACACATCGACTGGATCCGTTGACAAAATCACTACTGGTGTTTACATTGAGAGTCTAGATTTACCATTAATGCTACACAAATGTAATTCAATTATCTTTTTGATAAGAGTACTTATATCAAATATTTGAAAATTATACAAAAAGGAAATGTTCATACCATGCTCAAACCTGGAAGGTTTATGATAATATCAATTGATGCTCTAATTACTACAACATTATGAAACACACCCTCAGGGACCTGAGTATTTATTCCATAAATATTTATTTCATAAACAGAGTTCATAATAAATTGTATAGAGGCCTTGGTAATTAATAATATGAAGCATAATCATCAGTTTTCAACAAACAGCATACTGTAGCAGGCAGTGGAATAGGTACTTAATATTGTATATAAATAAGAAATAATTTTAATAATTGTGAGTTATTTTCAAAACCCTGATTAAGAAAAAATAATTTAAGTTTACCGTAAATCCTTAATTGAGTGCTGCTCTCAAAATAATTGCCACACCAAACATGATTTTTTTTGTTAAGCGCAGCTCTCGAATAAGTGCCTCCAAAAATTGTATGAGTGCCACAGTGCTTTTTCAAGGATTTACGGTACTTATATTTAAATTATTTTTTTCTTTGCAATCCAAAAATGAAACTAATTAATCTTTAATCTAATCAGATACATTTTGGCAACCATTCATTGCGAACATTTTAGGCCAATGGTTTTGAAGTTTACTTTAATTTTTTATGCAATATAGGAAACAAGTATTGTATAAAATAAATATTATTAAATATAAAACTTAGTTGTAGCATATAATCTGTATAACTAATTTTGGTATGCACTGACCGAGATCAAATTATGTTTGTATAAAGCTAAACAGGGATGACCATAAATCAAAAAGGATGAAGGGTATTAAAGAGGCACATAGTAAAGGGGTGCTCCCAAAAAGTGCCTCAGCACCAAAGCTTTTGAAATGCCATGTAATTCATTGAGAATGAACAAGTTTAATGAGATATGCAAAGGTAATTACATCAGCATGTTTATACCTGGTTAATTATACAGCTTGCATAGTCTTCTGATACTCTACTGACTAATAATATGCATTACTACTAACCCTATACTGGAAATCCATAAAATGACATCCATGATACACAAAAGTAAGAATCTCCTTCTATGATTTCATTTCATGAAGGTGATAGTATTTTTCTCTTTTAAAATACATAGTGAATGAAACAGCCAGCCAAGTACTGGTTTAATGGGTTTACCAGATACACAAAGCGTATTTGTGTAGCAAAATGTAATTACCATATTCACTTTAAAAACATTAAAAAAAAAGTAGTTTTGTTTGAATAGCAAACACATGCTTATGGAGAATGATAATTATAATTATGTAGCTGTTAATAAAGAACCCACTGTGTCTGTCCTTGAGCAATGCATCCTAAATTGAACCTCTAGAAACTTTCTCATTACTGAGCATCAAATCAATAAGTGTATGTACATCAGCACAAGACTGAACAGTGAAATATTTAGTTTTGCTTGGTAGTGAACGCACTGGCCTACATTTTCAAGAGTCTCAATGTGGGTTGTTTCAGCATAATATTCATCCAGCTCAAAATGATCAAACTTGTAGCTTGGATTTAATGTAAGCGTATGAGATGGCATTAGTGGCGAATTTAGGGGAGGGCATGCCCCTCTCCCTCTCCCCTAAAAAAAACTTGCACCTCTCCAGTCACTCTCCACCCCCCAACATTGAAATGTTTAAAGTAAAACAATCCTGCTCCAGTACATAAAAAATCACCTCATATTACCTTATTTGGCAAGCTAGCCCCCTCACTTAATTATCAAGTACCCCACGCTCCCCCATCAGCTCTCCCCGTATTTTAAGACTCCTAAGATATGCCATTGGATAGCATAGCAGACAAGTAGATAGAGTGATTTGTAAATCCAGATCAATGTAACTATAGAAATTTAAACATTTCTTGGTGATCATTCATGTTGTCATACGTTAATTGCCAATAATCTTTTTGAGGCAGTGACAGAGGGATTGTGGTGTAAGGTTGTGAATATTTTGGACAGTTGAGTTAATATTGAAATCGGTTATGACGGGAAAGAATGTTAGCATTTCTAAAATGCACCTGAAGTAAGATGTGTAGTCGATACACTTGGATTTTGCTTATCTTCCTTCCCCAGGCCTCATGCTAACCAGACAACATGGTTTACTTTATCCTGTAATCGTTAATCTTACTTCCGCATTAGAAAGGTACATTTTAAATATAATTTATGAAAAATATGGGAGAGTTGAAATTGACAGGAGTTCGAAGCTACAGGACAAATGACAAAGAAATTTAAAAAAGTTCTTACCTAAAACCAAACAGCATCTCATCATGTCGAAGATGAGCATCATCATCAATAGATAAAATTGCCTCTGTGTCAATTTCATCATATGGTAGAAAACGGTTATTTAAACTATTTTTCTTTGTCTTGATTACCTGAACAAAAAGAAAAGAAAATCCAATGACTATGTTATGAAGAGCACAAAGGTCGTATAATAATGCCCTATACACAACTGACATACAGTATTCAGCAAACAATACATGTACACTTAAATAATGAATAAACAGAAACAATGCATTCAAAAACTAATACCTACAAGATGGAGTCGGTTAAATATATACAAAGATGCTTATACTAAAAGTGTTGATGTGGATAAAGATTTGAACACACCCCACCCCAACCCCTTCTGGAAAAAAGGCCCTATCCACTAGAACCTCCCTATCCACAGGTACCTCCCTGAGTTCACAGGTACCTACTTGCACTCACAGGCGCCATACAAAGAGATCCTGCAGTTAGCCTGCAGTTAGGCTTGATTAAATTTGGTGCGGCTTTACGATATGCAACTGATTAAGTACTGTTCCCCATGGAACTGTCTGTAGTTCAACACTTCGGTATTTATTGTTGTAATTTTGAATAAAATACACTTAACAGGGCCGTCGGAACCGCACCGGCTATAGCCAACCATTTTTTCTCAATTCTATTACTTTTTAAAATAATTATATACAGATACTAATATAAATCATATGAATGTTTACACCATACTGTCTTTTTAATGTTGTATATTTCATAAAAAATCCACCTTGCGCTAATCTATTTTTTGTATTGCCAATGTACAATAAAACTTTTTTGACAGTCATTTGTAGTAATATAGATGAAGATTGATTTTGAAAATGTTAATTGTAATATAAAATTACAATTGACTATTTACAAAATGTTGGGGGTAAGAGTTTCCCCTAAAGTGAAGGACATTCATTTTTTAAAAGTATGTATGTGCTATTTCCCCCGTAGAGGAGCCATTTTCAACCATGGTACGATGGAGCCGAGGCGGAGGGTATGGTATCTAGTCTGCTTCTATGAACTTTAAATCCTGTATCTGTCCCTGTATGGGGTTGGAGAAAGGGTAGCTACTTTGCAGGTTGCCAGCTGCTATTTTTAAAAATTATTTTTAAATTTTTTTTAAATTTATTTTTTTTTGTTCCCTGATTTTTGGGTATCTACAGAAGCCACATTTTTAAAATTTGCAGGTATGAATTTATATCCCAACTTTATCCCTTGAGGGGAGGGGAAGCAGTTCTACATTATTCCCAGCTGCGATTTTCGGGCATCCAAAAATTATACTTTAAGACCACAATATTATGGAATGGCAATCACAATAGCACTGATTGGATTTGACAATTGACTCGTGGGGGATGTTCAGGTTTGTACAAAGGGTGTGGTACCCAACAAAATAAAAAATTCCAGTGCAAAGCAACAATAACTAGATTAAATACTAAGATGTCATAGATATCGCTACTACCAGAACCACCAACTTTTTGTCCTGGGTTTGCTAGTCCCTGGAGGTCAATCGGAGGATTGCTTGCTCTCTACTGTATTATAAGATTAAATATAGCAAAACCCAAATTAGTCTCTGCCCAATTAAAACCACTGATTTGTGCCCCTGCCTACTCTTTCACAGAAAAACTAGATCGCACTAATGTTGTAACTATGCTAATGTACTCTGTCAGGTATGTCTTTATCTCCTTGGAAGTATGTCTGCCTGCCATAAATATACCAAGGATTGACTAAAATTAATGTGTAATTGATATACTGTAAGGCCAACCAGAAGCAAACATAACCAGCGGTGGCACCAGAGATCACAGTCAATTTAAGTTAAAAATCACATAAAATCACCTTATTTTGCGAATTAGCACCCCTTAACTGATCATTTACCTTCGCTCCCCAATCAGCCCCCACCCCCATTTCAAGACTTCTAGATACGCCATTGGTTCGGTAGAAAACTCAAAAGAGCATGAAGCTAGGCTTCTAATCACTTATCAATTACCGGTGTAATTAACCAATCATTTATTCAGTGAACTATCTCCCTACAGCAGAACAACAAATTCACAGTAGAACTGAACTAAAATATTTTCAGACAGGATTAGCCAGAATATGGGCTGGCCAGTTTAATGCTTATTGCGTATCGTTATCTACTATTTATGTTTCATTAGCATTCCTCCCATCCTAAACATCATCTAAAAACCATTAGTAACGCTGCTGGAAACAACACAACAAAATTGCTGGATGTAAGCATCATTAAACTCAAATCATAGTTCACGCACCAGTGACAGACACATTCTTAGTAAATTGTTTATTTTCGCAGATATCTCCTACACCTATTCAAGACAGCTCAAAATGACTATGGAATTTTCAATTTCTGCTTTGCACAGAATCTACAATAGATCTCCGTATATGTTTGGTTTTTCTGCACGCCACCATTAACTGGGGGTTTAAAGTGTCACACCTGTAAAGCATGTATGGAGAAAGAGTTTAAGAACGATTTATAAAACCTGCATTTAATATTGAATTCTTTCAATCATGGAGGTATAGTAAACTATCTCTATGTTGTAATTAGCCACAAAATAATAGTCAGCTACATAATGGCTCTGGGTATCTATCAACAGGGTAAGACTCAAACAAGTCTGGTAGTGGGTTCAAACCAAAAGTCTGCCTAGCCATGGCCTCCAGGTAAGAGAAAAGTGAAGACACACCCACATAGATTAAGGGCTTTTGTGTCTACTGCCCCAACGTGGGCGTAGACACTATGTCATGATGTAGAAATTAAAGATGGCGGGAAAGGGTAAATCCGGTTTAGGCACGATGAGTACTACCACAAGGTAGAGGGCGCTCTATTGACAATCGAATAGCATTCGGAACTCGAAACAAAATTGCGTTCATTTGAAGGATGCCCTCTAGAACATGGTAGTTCTCTTCGTGATCAATGACATAACATGGTAACTCCAAGAGTTCCTCATTTTTAAAGTGTTTTAAGTGTAATATATACAGAATATTGTTATAAAAGAAAATTTTATGAAAAAACCAGATACACTACAATAATACACACATCTGCATATTGAAGAACATAAGATAAAATTAAAAAAACAAAAACTCCTGTATAAGGCAGTAGACACACGCTCCCGCTGGGAGCCTATTTTTAGAATTGCAAAAGAAGACATCACCCCTAAATATTAAGAACTAAATAAGCAAATTTCTAGCATAAAGAAGTGGCGATTTCTTGTGACCCCGTGTTTGCGCTACTAATGACCGAAGTACAACTATCATCATCATCATTACCATATCATCACTGTCATCATAATTATCATCCAACATCATCTGATTGTTCAGCAGTGACCACACAATCAAACTTGATATATACTTACTTGTATATTTGTTCATTCAGAGGAATATGCATTGATAAAGCAAAGATATTTTGAAAATAATAAAATTGGAATGTTGGTTATGTTTTCAACAGTAACTGTATTTTGAAACTTGACATTTTATCAGTAATAATGATATATGAATAATACATGCAATCTAAAAACTGGTTTTTATTATTACATCAAACAGACTAAGTTAAAAAATAATCAATATTGCTAAAACCTGCATCATGTAATTTGAATGTTTCTGTTCTGGAAAGCCATAAAATATTCAACTTGTAATATTGGGAAGGGATACAGTATATAGGAGAGGAGGCTTACCCGTGGATATCATATGCCTAGTAGTCCATTAAAATGGTTTGCTACCAATCTAGGGGAAGCAGATGACCTCCCTCACACTAGCGAGCTACCGATTGCATGACGACGGTAGGACGTAGAACATAATGACATCACTAAAAGGCATCTGCACATGCGAGAACGTTAAGTTCACCTCGTCAAGTAGATTCTGGAATGCAATTTGGCCAAATCTATGTATGCAGAAAACGTAGGACGCCAGGTAGGACAGTCACGCATGAGTGATTCCGTTCTAGCGCCGTGTTGTCGCACAAATCGAAAGCTCCCTAGTATAACCTGGTAAAGTATATTATTCAGCCTATTTTCATAAACATAGTACAGGTGATTTTAGAAATGGGAATTGGTTAAAACCCACATGTAGGTTAGGCAATGTTTGTCCTTGAGGTTGCTACAGTATATTGAATGTTAAATTAAACTAACCATGAGTAATTGATGTTGGTTAGTTGCCTCTAAAAGGCCCCTTGATAATTAAATTGTTCATGCTATGTAATACATACCTTGATGGGTACATGGATCTGAGGCCAAAGTAGGTCATCGGATGGAGGTTCCGGGGAGTTCCATACTACAACAACCTATAAGAAATAAAGCATATATTCATTTGAATATTAAAATAAACAATGGAAACACTATACATAAATAAGCATTCAAGCTAGGCTCTGGAGGAAAACATTATTTTAATATGAACTGATTTTTTTCAAGACACAAAAAGCATATTTGAAGAAATATAGATTTTTGAATATTTAAAAACTGGGGGGAAAAAGTTGGCAAAAGGAAGTTTTTAAATATACAAGAATCTGTATCTCAATTCAAATATGCTTTTTGTGACTTAGAAAAATCAGTTGTGCGACATATCAAAACATATTTTTTCCCTCCGAAACCTGGATTTAATGTTAATAATCAAGTAGCAAAAGTGAACTTCAGAAGACAAACAAACTCATCATCATTAAAACTAAACCTATACAGTACTTGCATTACTCAGTAATTAATATTTATAGCTTTTTTTAGATTGTGTGATAAGTTTTAAAGCACTGAAATATTTGTTGATTCATTTTAAGTAAAATGTCAGCTATGATCATGACTCACCTACTCTATGTTTTTTTTGCTAATCCCATGTGCCGTACGAATAATATTATGTACGGTATTCTATTTCATTTTCTCTGTTTTTATCTGTACAGTATGATAATTACACCAAGCCCAAAAATAGGTCAGACAATATACTGTCATATCTTACAGACCATAATTACAAAAAATGATTTAAAAATATCATATTTATGTTATATTTTAAGAGAATAAATTCTGTAATAGTGAGAGAAGATGCACTATGGCACAATATTGGTCATAACAACAGAATATCAAGAAAGCAGCTCATATCAATCAGCTATAGCTTAAAAAACTCAACCTAGCATTGGTAAAAGTGCCAGTCAAAAAGCAAACTATAGCGGCATTATTTGCTATAACAGTGTTATTTGCTATAGCAATACAATATAAAAGAACTATGAACATTGTAATTGTTGTAATATTTTGACTAACTTTAACTTAAGTTCATCAGCCCATAACCAGCCAATTATAGAAAGAAGACAAGGGGTTGAATACAAACACATAAATTGACAAATTACATACGGAAATCAGCTAAACTAAAGTCACTTTATGTCATGGACACTTCGTTGCTTTTGGGTTCCCATGGCTTTTTGTCTGTATTAAATACAGTATAATTCCCACCAAGGGAACGAAAATAGAATGCAGAGAAATTCCTTTTGAATACCCTCAAATAAATCTTCCCATAGAGGTTAAATAATACTAAATGTATAGTGCAATACCATAACAATATACAGTTATCTTGCAAATATTGTTGAAACTTAAATAATGTTGATTTAGCCATTGCATAAATAAAATTTCTTGTTTACTTTACAACGAAAGTGAAATGATTTATTATGGTTTCAATAAAAATATGTTTTACTTTTCAATTGATTGTCCTAGATAAAGTTGTGCATTGATGCTGGCTTTCCTATGACAGCTCTTCGCTGGCTACTACTGTATGTCTACATTATGGTCCAGGTTGAGGCTCTTTGAGTCAAAAAGTACTATTCTGCTCTTGTAACAACGATTACAAATTAGGGTATAGCTGGCAAAGCACCAGAAGAGTAAAATATGAAGGTTGTCAGTTCAATTCCAACAAAACAAACCCCCAGCATATTTAACTAGGTACTACAAAGAGTACTATACAAATTAGCATTCAAGGTCAGTCATAAAATGGCCCTCAGTCAACTAGAAGTCCAATATTATCAAAGTTGTGACACAGAAAGCCAACTTTCTGACAATTTGACCTTCATTGAACTCACACAGCAAGCCCACAAGTCCATAGTTGCGCAGGTCAATTAGAATTAATAATCTCAAGGAAAATGTCAAGCTAGTGATCTGCGAAATACTAATTTACTGTACATATAGTAATATCAATTCATTTCATGAACATGCTAGGAATGTTGCAAAACAGCTTAAAAATCTGCAAATTAATTTTTGCTAAAGCTGCCCTTGGTTATTTTATTTATAATTTGTAGTGAAGTAACTATGAATCATATGAATGGAGTTAAACTCACTGATTCACTGTTCTAAAACTTCTATAAATAACATCAGCGTGTTACATCTGTTGATGCTATTCCATGGCAATGATTCATCAAAAAATATGCCTTACTATTTTTTAAGTGTGTCTGAAGTTACTTCTCTTTTCTCTACAGTTCCAGTGCTTCACAATGTTTACTTTTTTTTAATATTATATTTTCATAAATTTTGAAAATGCCAAGGAACTTGGGAATGTTGCATGTACAGTACATCAATATTAACAACAAATTAAAGTGCTAATATTAATATTATTTATAGTTTTATAAACCTAACTGGTAATGATACGGTATCACAAGTTGTACAGCACCCATTGACAGAACCTGAAGCTGTCCAACATGTGGCCTTACCAACACAGAGAAACAGGCCATGGTGGGAGCAGCTCTGAAAAACTGGACCATTTTAAGGTGATCTGAGATATTTTAGAATATAATTATGTCAAAAGAATAAAGAAAAAATGTTGTAACTGTACATTTAACCTTTACTTGTTGCATGAAGTTTATTGAAACACATTTCCTACAAAGTAGACAAGACACCATTCACCTCCTTCCTAACTGCTTGCTATGTAATTTACACAGCTGTGTTTTGTATGCACTTCTCAATGGAGCTAGCATGTTGGAATATTATATTATTCTGTTCCATATTAGCTCCCTGACTTCTCTCAATCCTGAACTGTGGCCTAACTAAAAAAAATGTGTATTGTTCATTTCATCCATGCTTCGCCTTAATTGTTCACACCTCAAAAAATCAAAATAGGATTCACCCTTCAATTAACATACATTAAGACCACAATTATGCTTCCTCCAGATCCAGAATGTTGTTAAATTAGGGAGGGGCACTAGAAAGCTTATCAGACTGGTTAGTGGATCAGAGAGGTTAGCGGTGTTCACTTTCTATTATGTGGGTCCAGGGACTGTAGTCTTGGAAGATCAGGATTCTAGCCATTTTATTGTCTCACGTAAAATATGATTTTTACACTTGGTTAAACATTTTTTGACTAATTCCGGGCCCTCCATTTGCCACTCGCTGAATCTGCGACGGTCCTCATTCTTCTAAAAGATGATCTCACTCGCACAACACGTCAGTTCTTCCAATATTGATTGTATTTACTATCTCATTAGTGTGTACAACAATTAATTATAGGAGGCGTATTCCCCAAGGTCCAATCATTCATTCTCTGTTAATAAAGCAGCAAGTTTTATGACTGAAATATTATTAATGATTTCTTCAGTGATAAAATTTGAACTATGACACATTGAGGTATTCATATATATATATATATATATCTGTCTCTTATACACATCTAGATGTGTATAAGAGACAGGTATGATAATTACCATTTGTTTTAAAACAGCATATCAAATTGTGAAATACAGATTGGCTTACATTGTGTTTTGTATGAATATGCAAGCAATACATAACAAATGATTAAATGTGACATTTATATATTACTGAATGTAAGTTGATCAAGCACGGGCCTTAAGAAACGCTTTCATAAATAATAAAGTGGATTGCGCAGAAATGACGTCAGATCGAGACCCGTACATTTTCAGAGCCCTTTAGGATTGATTTAGAGCATCCAAGATTAATTTGGAGTACCACTACTGAGCTAAAACAACCGATATAAATTTACAATTAAATTCCTGAGATATAATATAAAAATTGAAATGCAAAATTTATATTTATGGAGCACTCACTTGAAATAGAGCAAGTTGTTTGTTTTCATTTCAAAAAAATGTGAGAAAAGTAAATTCCTATATTTAATTAATTGATGCCAAGTCACACCATGTTGCAATACATCAAGCTTTAATTTAGCTCAGTTGGTAAAGTATCAGTTGGTAAAGTACCAAATGGTAATCAGGTCTAATGTTCAAATCCCAATTAGAACAAGTATTTTTCCCAAATATTTATTATCACCCATTAATAATAATAAACTGGTAATCAATATAAATCTTTTTGTATTACTGTACTGTAAAAGGTCTGAAAATCAGATTTAAAAAATCTATTTAAAGTATATGCTAATTAATGCTGATAATTTTTCTACCTATCTAGAGACTAAAATACAAAGAATATACAATCAGATTACACATAAGTATTCATCAATCTGTAGGATGTTTGTCTGTTTCTTCCTTTAGCCTGCAGATACACTGAATTATAATATAGCATTATTAAATTCATTAAGCTGCAGAATGCAAAATTTAGTTGAAATAAGCCTGATGAGTTCATTGATTCTAATTGCATGTTCTGTCCATTCTAGGACTAAATATGGCTTATGTCCTGTTTTACTAGCCTTTCGTAGACTTGCTGGAGAAATTTAGCTAGACTTGTTTTTTTTCCCCAACATTTACAAAATAAATCATGTGTCAATTTGCTGGGATAACATTTTGAAATAACAAATTGGCTAGGTACTTGACAACCAACTAAATTTATGGATTGAGTAGATAAAACAGGTCCATCAATAACATTCAACGTTAACAGGAAATCTAGGATGGCAGTTTTTTTTTTGAGATACTGTATTACTACATAACCAACCAATTGATTATTGCAAGTAAATAAATATGTCTACCAAGAAACATATAAAGCTAATAAAACAAACAAAAATTTTAAACAAACCAAAAATTAAAATGAATTTATTTGACCATTTTACAAATGTAAACATTTTAGAAACAGCAGGCCTTTAGTGAGCTAAACATGGATGCATTTTTTATTTAAAGCGCTTAGGTTCCAGTGGTTCTCGGATCAACGATTAGTAAGTAGAACATCTATTCCCTCAAACTCAAAGCTTAATAGAGCACTTGAAACTAATTACTGCAATTCACCATAATAATTAGTTTGTCTAAGTAGGAGAGAAAAAATTAAGCTGGTGCATGCTTGGACAAAATTTACACAAAAATATATGTGTATTCAAATAATAATAATCAGTATCATGAAGCAACAGACAGATAGTAATTTAGCAGAGTTATTGTATTCTTTCAGTTTAATGTTTATGTACGGATTTCAATTCAAATGAAACTGTTCATGGATTTTTCATCATTACATTAAAATATATATTCTCAGTTCAATGAAAATTATAAATTATGCTGAAATCACTCCTTGCATTCACCTTAAAAACATATGTGCAGAGTATGTTGAAAAGACAGGCCAATTTCCTGTTTGACAAATATATCCCAATTACAACTCCCTGGTCCTGAGGCTCATTAAACAATGGAGGTTGGACTGTCATACAGAACCATTAATGAAACTAGCATACAACCGTGCGGTGTTGAATGAGTGGGGAAAGGTGGCGATGTATTTTGTTGAATGTTAAGGGGAAGAGGCAATTGACATGTCGACAAGGACGCGAAGCCCCGCCCACAAAGTCACGAAAACCTTAGACAATGCCGGCTAGACTTACCGAGTTGGCAAAGATTTTCTTTGCTATCAACCTTCTTTAAGAAAGAGAATTCAGGGTACAGTAGGCGGTATGCAAATGAAATTCATATATTCATAGTGTTAATCTATTTCATGGAACATGGTGGGGAAATTGTTGTAAAAGCCTCCCAAAGGAAGAGGGAAAAGCCGCATTCAGTCAACCTTGTTGTCAGCAAAGGCCAAGTCACTGATGCGCACTGCTCGTGTAAATCTGGGTAACTATAACAAAGCATAGACATCTAGGCCTAGGCACACGTATGTTTCGCGTTTAAACCAGCTGTCTAAGGAAATTAAAATGTCTGAGAAAAAGTTTTTGATCACGTGACTAAATAATGCTCGCTGATTGGTCAGTTTATCTGTCAATCAAATTTCGTCGAGATGTTAATTGTTGTGGTTACCATGTCCAGAAAGGGGGGGGGGGCACAAAAATGGGGACGATCGAGAAAATACTACCCTGGGGGCCCCGCATAAATTTTGTTTTCTATTCGCCCAAAAATAACCTTTGTGGCATTTTGGGCGATCAACTATTTCTTTTTCTTTTTTCTTTTCGATACTTTGCAAAAGGGGATCCCTGCCATTCCCAACCCTTCCCATATTGATGATATTTCAAGTTGATGACATGTTACAATATTACTTAGCAAAGAATGATGCAAAGAATGATAGAGCTACTATGACCATGCGGTAAATGCACAAATTGCATAGAAAAATCACATGCCAATGTACTGTATGTGTATCATTGTAAATCTATCTTCTATATGATAACGAGTTTACTCAAACGTGTTCGTTGTTTGAATGCTTTGTTGAGGTATTGTCTCTCAATATATATGGAGCTATGAAAGTGTGATTGTGGGACTTGTAACATGCATAGATCAGGTGCATAGCACAACGGCATCACAACAGTTATGAGATTTGGAAGTAATCGGCTAGAAAATGTGTTAATTTTGCCAAAAAAACAAAAAAAAAAACACATTGGATAATGAAATTGAGTCCTAATGCAGCAGATGTTCATCCCGCTGGTGGTAGCTACAACATGTGTGAAAATCATACAGTAATTGTACTTGAAATACTTTCCGAGACATTTGGTGGACAGAGAAAAACACAAAACGTTACAGTAGTTTAGTAAAGTACAGATTCCATATAGTACTGGGAATTACATTATTAACACAGAAAATCAAATCATCTCAAAGTCAACTTTTCTATAGTAAATATAAAGAACATAATTAGTATCAAGTAACGAAAAAAATTTTTTAAAAATAAGTTGTTTACAGGGGTGACAAAAATACAGTTTTAAACTTTACCTTATTTAAATATGGCAGGCCAACAAGCCTCTCCAAGGCTGTCATCAAAACTTTTTCCCTTTCATATGTTAACATCACAATTGTAAACTGTTCCCTAGGGACATTCCCACCAATTTCCTCTTGAAATTCCTTCCCTGCTCCTCCAGCACCTCCTCCAACAGGCCGAAATCCCTGCTCAGAACCAATGAATCGTGCATCAGTAGGAACTAATGGATCATTTGGCAAAAAAGGAAATAAATATTCAGGTCCAGGAGGATTATTCCAGATATGCTCCTGGTCCATAATTGTTGTTGTGAAGTTACGAAGATACTTTGGCGAAGCTAATGGAGGCTCAAGAGGGCCTAGCAATTCCTCAGGGTCAACCGCCATCCTTATTATCTCCTGCTTCTTGGGGCTGCCAGAGGGAAAAACATTAGGTGATGGTTCACTCGGTAGAATACTTGCTGGAATGGAGATTCTAGTCCTTAACGTAGCTAAAATGGCATCAGTTATTGCTTCGGTTGAAGACAAATATGTTGACCAAACAAACCAACCCTGGCGGCGCATGGCTAGTATATCCTTATCAGAAAAAGTTTTGAGGAAGAAATATAGTTCTGTAATGCGAGATTTGGGTAAAATGATAACACATTTTTTCCAAGAAATAAATTCACCAAAAGGAAGTTGTGTTTGTTCACCCAAAATCACTGGTATTGCACCATACCGTAATGCTTCATAAAGACGCTTATAGAGATGAGTTGAAAATGCGACAGAATCGTTATTAGCAAGTATCAAAGCAAACGTAGACTGTTGTAAAATAGCAGCACGATCAGTATGGTCGCCACACAGACCCCACTCTACATTCTGTATTTCTTGAGATCCAAAATTAGATTTTTTACATATGAAATCTATATAAAATTTATCTTCATTTATGTTTTTTAATTTTTCAAGTTCCTCTGTAATAAATAAAATCTCCTCTGCCTCTTCGTGAGTTAAGGTCAAATCAGATTTGACCTGCTTGCCATTACCGGCATTTTGTTCTAAATTAACAAACGCTATCGTGTCCTCAGCGGGTGCAACATTTGCGAAACGTCGCCCTTGGAATGTAAGAAAGAACGTTCTGCGGGCAGGCACTTGAGAGGGTGTCTCTGTCCAATCAAACTTTGAGACTAAATTTAAGAGCATCGGCGCAACAATGTCAAATCCAGCTCGAAACTGATCAATTTCGAAATTTGTTTGAATGATCATCGCACGTCCTGTGTTTATATTTTTAAAATTATTCGAAAGAGACTCGTGCCTCTGTAGATTTAAAAGAACATGATTGCGGCCATCGCCATTCCAATATTTTAATTTATGCAAACTTGATTCTAGTTTTGATGCAATGTCCAAGCCATTCACACCTGTTGTATCTCCCATAGCAACTACAAAAACACATGCCATATCAGCATCAAAGGCAATATATGGATTAATTGCCATGACATGCATCAGAGACGTTCTTATAGTTGGATCCATTGATTCCGAAATTGCATGACTTGTAGGTTTATAGAAGTAAACAGGAAAATGAGATGTCACAGAACATCGCGAGTAATCAAAACAATTGTATTGGCGACAGCGTTTGCTTGAGCCCGGTGGTGCTATTTCAACGTTATCTGCTAGATCTGGGAGAATTCGCTTCGGTGCAACTATATGAGATATTGCTTGTAACGCGACCTCTTCTTTCTCTTTTCTCATATTTTTTACCTGCAATCGCAAACTTTCTAGTTCTGTCCGTGAATGTTGAAGAACAGAATGCATTGATTCCTTTTCTTCATATAACGCATTCATTTCAGCATTCATGGATTGCCGACGATTCTCCATCTCACGTAATTCATTTGACACTGAAATGCGTATTCGGCATAGCTCTTCCAAGTGTGTTTTAAGGTCACTTGGTTCCAAAGAAACAACACTGTCACAACTAGTTAAAGAGAATGGGCCGTAGGAAATTGCATCTGAGTTTGTTAGGTAATAATGAGTAAGTAGAGGTAACACTATTAAAATCACTAAAAGAATTGTTATCAACCGTGATAAAAACTTGTTCCTACTCAGCCAACGAGCAAATGATAGCTGAGCCGAAGGACGCATTGTCGATGGTTCTTTGCGGGCTGCAAACTCCATCCTGTTTACAAGCATCCTCCGAGGCCGTCACTCATAAGCATTCTCCACCGATCAATTCACTGCAGGTCAAAGAATTCTCAATCGGAAGTTCTTTGATAGTAATTGAACGGAGAGCAAAATCGGTATTTGTGGATATGCACATAGTTTACAAAACGAAGGAAAACATGTGGTGTTTAATACAAGCGTAAGCCAAATATATCATCTGCAAGATAAAAAGAAAATTGTATCATGAAAAAATTGTTACAGTATTGTTACTGCATAATAACAGGAAGCATTTGTTGGACATAAATGAATCATGCCAAAACATACTTCAAAGTAAGAATAACATAAACAATGAAATACAACCTTGAGTCAGGTTGAATTAAAATATGAAGTTATATATGATGAGATGAGATAGGCTCTATGAATACTATTACCTTAAACTACATCAATTTATATTTAAGAATGGTGAGAAGAAAAAACTAATTATTGTAAACCTATAAAAATACAATATACCTTTCAGCTTATTTTTTTTTTTTTTTTATCTATTTGTATAGTAAAGGAAATTAAAGTGATGAGAATTGACACAAAAGCCCTCACACAATATATTATTAACAAAGGCAGAACTACACTAATGTATACATCTTTGGTTATGGGCAATACTTAATATAAGCCTCAACAGTAGGCAGTACTTGATATCAACTTCTTATACTAGAAGTACTACAATGTTGCATCACTGTACGAATATGAAACGTTATTTTACTATTATATCTCTTCAATATTTTTATGAAACATTATTAAAAAACATAAATTACCAATTATGCAGGCCTACATTAATAGTACTCATTTTATTGAAATGTAGATGACAATTTCCTGCTTGGCAGCATGGGTAAAATTATAATAACAGTAGTTTTATAATAACATCATTAAATTTATATGGAATTTGCTCAGTATAAATTTGTTTTAAGTTTTCCAATTACAAAAAAGAACACATTTACAGTACATCATAAAACATTAATCCAAGATATCGACTATGTTGAGCTAGCAAAAAGCAATTGCTTACTTTACATTCAAGTGTGTTATTTCCTTCAATAGAAAATTGGGGGAAAAATAATAATGAACAGTTGCATAAATAATATTTTTAATCAGCAAAAAACTGAATTGTTTTGATATGTATTTTATTGGAAGATTGAACTTACATATTTTTTGACTTTTTTCTACATTTTAAAGCAATTTATTATTAAAATTATGAAAAAAAAAATCCAAATGAAATAATTTTTTTTTTATTATACTTCTAATTGCTATTATTACACCATTAAATTCAGTTCACTAAATGATAGTATTTACAAATTGTTTAATTTGGAATAATGCCTTTGTGGTTAAGGTGATTTACCCTTCAATCCCAGAGCCAAACTTCAGTTCATTGAGACCAAGATTGTTTCTCATGACAATAAACCTCAAAATCTTTATATTAATGTTTAGTAATATTAAATATGAATTAAATTTTTCAAACCAAGAAGGTATACTATCTTACCAGACTGTAAATCCGGCTTCAACAACTGGGTATTTTGTGTAGAATGGACGATAGCTCAGCCTCGCACATGCTCCATTTTCCTTGGCTGCATTGTAGTGCATGAGGTTAAAAAATAATACAAGAAATTAGCTGACAAGGTGGGAGTAAGAAGAAAGCTGGTTTCTGATTGGATTGGCACTGGATGGTACACCCATTGGATTTGACAGGAAGAAATCAATTCCACTGAAAACCTAAACATCCTGCAAGATATACACATTCAAATATAATTATAGCAACAAATTATTCCAAGTTCATTTTCGACTTTGAATAAGCTTTTATTGCACATGCACCCTGTAAATCAATCATTGATCATATATTTATTAATATACCATTTTTTAAATGCAAGTTCTACATAACCCTTAAATCACATCAATCATCATATTAGTAAGTGTTTTAGCAGTTTAAATTCTGTGTTTTGACTTTGCATTTTTTAACAATTTAAATCTTAATATACTATTATGAATGCAATAATTTATTATGTGGCCCTATAAAAAAGATAGCATGTTACAAATAAACTACCAACCATGTATTATTATTCCTTATTACTACTATATTTATTATTATTACCACACTAGGCCTATTGTGTTCATTTTTAATCCCTTGTAAACTTTTATGTTTTATTTATTGCATATCTGCAGCTTATCATCATGATTTATGTGTTTTTTTTTATGTAGATAAACTATTTAGGTGCGGTTCATTTAATATTTCCTGGTGTTAATTTGCCTTTTTATTTTCACTCCATATTTCCTTTAGTAAGTCAAAGAGGTAAATATATATTATATATACACATCT